GCACGCTGGATTGGCGGGTAGCTGCCGAGTCAACGCCGTTCCTGCCACTCAGGACTCACCCGGGTAAGCTTACACCTTTTTGTTGATGTAAGGCAATCACACCTTCGTCGCCAGTGTTGCGTCCTTCGTGAAATGGCAAGACACGAGAAGCAGTTGTAGTTCTCAGGAACTCTTTATTGTTTAGTTCAGCTTACAGTTAGAGAACGCCGGCAACGCCCAAAACTCTCGGCCCCTTTTATAGGCCTTTCCCGGGTCAATCTGCAACTTTTGGCGCGCCAGCACCTGTGCATGCGCACAAGTACTGGCGACAGCCTGTCTGGTCCCGGGCAGCTTGCACCTGCCCGGGACCGTTTGCAATGCCCCGAGCCTGCTTGCACAGGCTCAGGACATAACACAGGGACATCACCCTGCCAACAAAAGTGCGTATAGTCCAGGCCATGGTTTTCCCATTTGCAATGTATGGCTGTGAATGTTGGACCATAAGAAAGGCTGAGTGCAAAAGAATGGAGGCCTTTGAACTCCCGGGCTGGAGAAGACTCCTGTGAGTCCCCTGGACTGCAAGGCGTTCAAACCAGTCAGTCCTAGAAGAGATCAACCCCGACTGCTCTTTAAAAGGCCAGATCCTGAAGTTGAAACTCCAATACTTTGGCCACCTAATGAGAAGGAAGGACTCACTGGAGAAGGGCCTAATGCTGGGAAAGATTGAGGGCAATAGAAGAAGGAGACGACAGAGAATGAGATGGCTGGATGGAGTCACTGAAGCAGTAGGTGTGAATTTAAATGGACTCCAGAAGATGGTAGAGGACAGGAAGACCTGGAGGAACGTTGTCCATGGGGTCGCGATGGGTCGGACACGACTTCGCAGTTAACAACAACAACAAATAACATATATATTCAACAGTTGAGCTAGTTAAGAACAGAACACAACAGAACAGAAGAGAATAGAAAAATAGATAATAGAATAGAATAGAATAGATAGAAAGAATATACTATAGAATAGAATGGAATGGAATGGAATAGAACAGAATTAGAACTAGAATGAAATGGAATAGAATGTAACAGAGCAAAACAGAACAGAATAGAACAGAGTTGAACAGAACCGAAAAGGATGGGATGGGATAACAGTATTGGAAGGGACCTTGGAGGTCTTTTATCTAATCGAAACTCCTGCTCAAGCAGGAATTTTATCTCTATCAGTGGTGGTGGTGCTGATTGTATCATTGCATCATCACTGTCTGGATGTTTTTATTTTTGTTTCTTACAACCAGAATCAGGACTAGAATTTCCATTACTAAGCAAGGCAGTTGTTGTGCTTGATTTTTCAACCATTTTTGCCAAGTTAATTGAGTCACTGCAGTTGTTAAGTGAATCTCATGGTCATTAAATGAATCAGGCTTACCCCATTGAGTTTGCTTGTCAGAAGCCAGCTGGGAAGGTCACAAATGTTGATCACATGACCAGGTGTCAAGCACCTGAATTTTAGTCATGTGATCGTGGGGATGCTGCAAAGGTCATAAGTGTGAGGACCAGTCATATGTCACTTGTTTCAGTGCCATTGTAACAATCACTAAATAAATGGTTGTAGGTCTGTATTACAATTGCAGTAGTCCCAAGACTTCATAGAACGGGATAAATCACAAAATTATTATTTGATTGACTTATGACCACTACTGAGCCAAAATTTCTGTTGTTAAGTGAGACATTTGTTAAGTAAATTTTGCCCCATTTTATTACCTTTCTCGCCACAGTTGTTAAAATAAATCACTGCAGTTGATAAGTTAATATCCGGATTGTTAAGTGAATCTGGCTTTCCCCATTGACTTTGCTTGACAGAAATTTGCAAAAGGGGGTCCCATGGCCTTGGGACACAGCAACAGTCATAAGTATGAACCAGTTTCCTGCCTGAGCAGGGGGCTGGACTAGATGACCTCCAAGGTCCCTTCCAACTTTATTATTATTGTTATTGTTGCCAAATTTTGATCACATGATCATGGGGATGCTGCAAAGACTGTAATTGTGCAAAACGATCATAAGCCACTTTTTTCAACGCAGTCACTAAATGAACTGCTGTAAGCCGAAGACTATTGAAGGATCAGATGAAAGAATGTACGTGCAGATGAGACCCTGAGGATCAGAAGGGGAAATAGATAGATAAATATCTGTTTTACATGTTCTGATCCTGAACTAAGATGCTTTGCAATTCAAGATCAGACAGATAACTCAATAAAGATGATTGTAAAACAGATATTTATTCAGGTATACTTGCAATTATGTAGTTTCTTCTGGATATGGCACATCTGTTCATCCTTATAGGTAAGAAATCAATAATTCCTCCACATCAACTTCTAACGTGGAATGGGACCATGTGTGTCCTGTGGTGGTCCCATGCTTATTTCAGACAAAGGCTTGCCAAACTGGCACATAGCCAGGATATCCTGTGATGAACTTAGTAGCTCCTCTTACTGACCTGTTAACATAGTATTTGCTGAATAGCTAAACTACATTACCCATAAGCCATCTCTTAAGGCAGTGGTTCTCAACCTGTGGGTCAGGAGCCCATTTGGGGTCAAACGACCATTTCACGGGGGTCACCAAACAATGCAGTCCGCCATTTTTTCCCCCTTTTCCTTAGCTGTGCTACTCCCTTTTATTCTATTGGCTTTTGAAAGCCAATAGAATAGACTCTCTTGAATAGAGTCTAATTCTATTGGCTTTCAAAAGCCAATAGGAATTGTCCAGGCTGTCTCTGCCCTGCTGAGCCCGCCAAAAGTCCCATTCTGCAAACGGTGCTGCACCAGTTGAGTAGTCCTCGACTTACAACCGGTTGAGTAGTCCTTGACTTACAACCAGTTGGGGGTCGCGGCATTAAAAAGATTGAGAACCACTGTCTTAAGGAGACAGCGCTTAACCCTATAAATGCCAAACATTCTAACATACAGATCTATATGCTCTAGTCAGAGTTACATTGACCCAGCACAGGTAGTCCTCAACTTATGTCCACAATTCAGCCCAAAATTTCCGTTGCCAAGCAAGGCAGTAGTTAAGAAGTTTTGTCCCATTTTACGACCTTTGTTGCCACACAATGCAAACTCTGCTTATTTCCATAACATTGAGATATTGTGTGGCCCAAGTAATCATCCAAGTGGCTTGATAGACAAATGGGCTGTATATAAATGTCATAACTAAATAAATCAAATTTTTAAAAGTGGGATGTTCATTTTTCTCACTTACTTTGCTTTGCCTCTGCAGATGTCTGCATGTCCAGACCTGTTTAATGGAGACTGAATAGGGCAGAAATTTAAAGAGCTTTTCTGCATTTGTGATAAAAACAAACAGAGACATCTTTGCAATATTTCTAAGATTTTCCATAACTCTCCATAAACTCCATAAAGTGTACAGATAATATCAACTTACAATCATTCATTTAGTTAAAATGGCAATGAAAAAAGTGACTTATGGTCATTTTTCACATTGCAGCATCCCCATAGTCATGTGATCAAAATTCTGACGGCTGGCAACTGGCATGTATTTATGATGGTTGTAGTGTCCCGGGGTCACGTGATCCCCTTTTATAATCTTCTGATGTGCAAAGTCAATGGGGCAATCCAATTCACTTTACAACCATGTTACTAACTCTACAACTGCAGAGATTCACTTAACAACTGTGGCAAGAAAAATAGGGCAAAACTCACTTAAGTACTGTCTTGCTTAGCCACGGAAACATTGGGCTTAATTGTGGTCATATGTTGAGGATTTCCTGTTCTAAATGTTCTGTCCTAAACGTTTGGGTAGCACAAGGCTCCATTTTAGGCCCAGCATAAATGACTTAGATGAGGGAATAGAAGGGGAAGTCATCACATTTGCAAATGACACTAAGCTGGCAGGAATAGCCAACACCCTGGAAGACAAACTCAGGATCCAAAAAGATCTTGACAACTTGAACAATGGGCCAACAAAATTAGTTTCAATATGGAGAAAAGCAAAGTTTTACATTTAGGCAGGAAAAATCAAAGGTATAAGTACAGATTAGGCGAGGCCTGGCTCAAAAACAGTAACTGTTAGAGGGACCTTGGTGTCTGAATGGACGATCACTTGACTGTGAGCCAGCCTTGTGCAGCAGCATCAGCCAAAAAAGCTAATACAATTCCTGGTTGTATAAACAGAGGCATAGAATCAAGATCACACAACGTATTAGTACCGCTTTATAAAACCTTAGTACAGTGGTTCTCGACCTGTGGGTCGGGACACCATTTGGGGTCGAACGACCATTTCACGGGGGTCACCAAACAACGCAGTCCGCCATTTTTTTCCCCCTTTTCCTTAGCTGTGCTACTCCCTTTTATTCTATTGGCTTTTGAAAGCCAATAGAATAGACTCTTGAATAGAGTCTCATTCTATTGGCTTTCCAAAGCCAATAGGAATTGTCCAGGCTGTCTCTGCCCTGCTGAGCCCGCCAAAAGTCCCATTCTGCACACGGTGCTGCACCAGTTGAGTAGTCCTCGACTTACGACCGGTTGAGTAGTCCTCGACTTACGACCGGTTGGGGGTCACAGCATTAAAAAGGTTGGGAACCACTGCCCTTGTAAGACCACACCTGGAATACTGCAAACAAGTATTGGTCACCCTACTACAAAAAAGATGTTGAGAAGTTTGTGTACCTGTGTGCATAGGAATAGATAACAACATGGGACCAACATCAGCCTCAATAAATGGGATGAGCAGAAGTGGAACTGACAACTATCAGTCCCCCCCCCCCTTTTTTTTTTTTGGCATGGAAGGAGTAATAAACAATGTGTGAGGCTACCAACTGATTCCTTTCCTTTCCCCTCCCTTCCCTTTTAACAAACATTTCTGGGCAGCTCACAATTGAAACCATATAATACGATTACAATTAAAATCTTAAAAACGTTTTAAAACAATAAAACAGTTAAAAACCAATAAAACTGTAAAAAAAAAAAAAAAACCATGGGCTCCCACCTAGTCTAACCTAAAGTTAGCTTTGCAAAGTCAGCTGAGGTCTGTCCTTGCTGAGCCCCTCCCTAGCATGAGGAGCCTCCAGCTATCCCAGAATGCCCCACCCTTACTTGCAGAGAATTTTGAGATTTGAGATTTGCCCCATCTGGAGTGGCATTCCAGCCCCGGGGGGGGGCGAGGGGGAGCAGATCTAGAGGTCCCTGTTCCAGATTTGGAGAAAGGGGGCTGCTTTTGCCTCTTCCGCTTCCTGCCCACCCCAGCGCAGCCCCCGCGACGCCTCCTGGTCTTTGCCCAGCCGTCCTGCGGAGCATCGTCCCGGGCTTCTCCCTAGCGACGGTTGCCGCGGCGACCGCGTCCATAGCAACGCGCCCTGCCTCCGCAGCGTCTTCGCCGGGGAGCTGCTCCGCCCCGGGGCTGTCCGGCTAAAGGAGGAGGGCGCCGGACCCGGAGGCGGCGGTGGGTGAGTGGGGCTGCTGGGGGGGGGACAGAATGGGGGGGGGTGTCTTCCCGCACTTCCCCTTGGGAGGCTCTGGCAGGGGGAGCAGGTCCAAAGTCCTCCCCCCACTTCCCACCCCGTTGGATCCTCTCTGACCCTCCCCAATTTGCCAAGGGGAAATCTCCACAGAGCCCCCTCCCCTTTAAAGGGAGTTTAAACTCCGCTTTCTAAACTCCCTCCCCCCCTCCCTCCCTCCACCAGGTCTGTGCCAAGCTCTCCCCAAGTATTGAAGGCGTGAAGATCTGGCGATGTCAAAGCGAAGTTGGAGCCAGGCGGAAGAGGAGCGAATTAACCAACTTTCGGTTTCGAGGTGCCTTGAGTGGGTCTGAGAAAGGTAAGCCCACAGTAGTGGAGCTGGCCTTGGGAATCTCAACAAGGTTGGGAGGGAAGAGGCAGGACCGGAGACCACTGAGAGTCCCAGTGACAGGAGGCTGGGGCTGGGTAATAATGAGGGAGGGAGGGAGGGAGGGAGGGAGGGAGAGAGAGAGAGAGAGAGAGATTGAATGGATAGGTAGATGGATAAATAGATAGATGACATAGGATAGATAGATTAATAATAGATGATAGAAAGAGAGAGAGAGAGGATGGATAGATAGATAGATAGATAGATAGATAGATAGATAGATAGATAGATAGATAGATAGATGGATGGATGGATGGATGGATGGATGGATGGATGGATGGATGGATGGATGGATGGATGGATGGATGGATGGATGGATGGATGGATGGATAGGTGGGTGGGTGGGTGGGTGGGTGGGTAGATAGATAGATAGATAGATAGATAGATAGATAGATAGATAGATAGATAGATAGATAGATAGATTTGATAGTAGAGAGAGAAGAATAGAAGGAAAGAGATGAAGGTAGAGAATAGAGAAATAATGACACATGACAGAGAGATATAGAGATAGGATAGATAAATTGATAGACAGAAGGATAGATAGATGGAGGTAATGAAAGAGAAAGCAAGAGAATGATATACAAATAGAGATATAAAGAAATGACACAAGGATAGGTAGAATGATTGATAGAGTTGAAGATAGATAATAGAGAGATTTGTTGTTGTTGTTAATTGCGAAGTTGTGTCCGACCCATCGCGACCCCATGGACAACATTCCTCCAGGTCTTCCTGTCCTCTACCATCTTCTGGAGTCCATTTAAGTTCACACCTACTGCTTCAGTGACTCCATCCAGCCATCTCATTCTCTGTCGTCCCCTTCTTCTATTGCCCTGCATCTTTCCCAGCATTAGGCCCTTCTCCAGTGAGTCCTTCCTTCTCATTAGGTGGCCAAAGTATTGGAGTTTCAACTTCAGGATCTGGCCTTCTAAAGAGCAGTCGGGGTTGATCTCCTCCAGGACTGACCGCTTTGATCGCCTTGCAGTCCAGGGGATTCGCTGGAGTCTTCTCCAGCACCAGAGTTCAAAGGCCTCAATTCTTTGGCACTCAGCCTTTCTTATGGTCCAACATTCACAGCCATACATTGCAACTGGGAAAACCATGGCCTGGACTATACGCACTTTTGTTGGCATGGTGATGTCTCTGCTTTTTAGTATGCTGTCTAGATTTGCCATAGCTTTCCTCCCAGGAGCAAGCGTCTTTTAATTTCTTGGCTGCAGTCCCCATCTGAGGTGATCTTGGAGCCCAGGAAAATAAAATCTGTCACTACCTCCATTCCTTCCCCATCTATTTGCCAGGAATTGAGAGGGCCGGATGCCATGATTTTGGTTTTCTTAATGTTGAGTTTCAAGCCAATTTTTGCACTCTCCTTCAATAGAGTGATAGATAGATAAATATAGATGATAGAGAGATAGAGAGAAATAGATGATAAACAGAAGATAAAGAGATGGAGGATGAATGGATAGATAGATAAATAGATGAGAGAGAGATAATAGCTAAAAGGATCGAGGGATAGATGCATGGATACTATAATAGAGACAGAAGAATGGATGGATGGATTAACGGATTCAAGAAAACAACCAAGCTCAGAGATTCTGGCTGGAGAATTCTGGGAGTTGAAGTTCGTATTAAAGTGGCTAAGATTGAAAAAAAATACTGCTATTGCTTTGCTCTAAAAATCTGGAGAATTTTTTTTTCTTAACAAACTAGCCCAGTGGTTCTCAACCTTTCTAATGCCATGACCCCATAATACAGTTCCCCATGTTGTGGTGACCCCCAACCACTTATACATCACCGGGTGCCAGGGGCGTGGCCAAAGAAAAGGGGGAAAAAATGGCGGACAGCCTTGTTTGGCGACCCCCGTGAAATGGTCGTTCGACCCCAAATGGGGTCCCGACCCACAGGTTGAGAACCACTGAACTAGCCAAAGTATTCTGCTTTGAACATCTTAATTTGATTTCCCTTTCAAAGGTCGCAATGGATGCTGATGAAGCTGTCAGCGAAAACCTAAAAATGCAGTTTAAGGCTCTCCAGGAGCAGCAGCAGAAAAGGATGCAAAATCTGATGGAGAAGAAAAAGGAGAGTCAACACAGCCTAAAACAGAACAACAAGGAGAATCAAGACAAGGCCCTCGGAATCCCAGATGCCCTCAACTTATCATTCTTGCCAGCCGAGACATCCAATTTAGACATTGGGACGAAGTAAGGCGGCAATCTAGTAATAGTAATAGTAGTAAAGTTGGAAGGGACCTTGGAGGTCATCTAGTCCAACCCCCCTGCTCAGGCAGGAAACCCTACACCATTTCAGACAAATGGCTGTCCAGTCTCTTCTTAAAAACTTCCAGTGTTGGAGTATTCACCGCTTCTGGAGGCAGGCTGTTCCACTGATTAATTGTTCTCACTGTCAGGAAGTTTCTCCTTAGTTCCAGGTTGCTTCTCTCCTTGATTAGTTTCCACCCGTTGCTTCTTGTCCTGCCTTCAGGTGCTTTGGAAAATAGCTTGACTCCCTCTTCTTTGGGGTAGCCCCTAAGATACTGGAATACTGCTATCATATCCCCCCTTGTCCTTCTCTTCGTTAAACTAGACATACCCAATTCCTGCAACTGTTCCTTATATGTTTTAGCCTCCAGTCCCCTAATCCTCTTTGTTGCTCTTCTCTGCACTCTTTCCAGAGTCTCAACCTCTTTTTTACATCGTGGTGACCAACACTGGATGCAGTATTCCAGGTGTGGCCTTGCCTTCTGGTTGAATTCACAGAACTGTGATTTATGATGCTTTCTGAGGGGAAGCCAGCATTTAATTCTGGTTTCCAGCCCACCCACCCACCCCCAAAAAATGCCGCATTCACTTAATGACTGCCGCAATGTCGTAAAATCACACGAGCGCTTTGGCTTATGACCTTCCTAATGAAAAGCGTTCCTCAACAAATTCTTTAGTGACTTTTCAAAGTTACAACAACACTGACAAAAGTGATATAGGAATGTTTTTCACACTTACGACTGGTGCAGCCTCCCGGTGGTCACCTGATTTACATTCAGATGCTTGACAACTGACTCATATTTATGACGGTTGCAGTGTCCCGGGGTCACGTGATCCACTTTTGTGACCTTCTAACTAGCGAAGTCAATGGGGAAACCACATTCACTTTACAACCATGTTCTTAACAGCTACAGTGATTCACTGCATAGAACAACTGTGTCACGAAAGGTCATAAAATGAGCCGAAACCCATAACAACTGTCTCCCTTAGCAAAAGACGTTTTGGGCTCCATGGTGATCGTAAGTCGAGGACAATCTTTAATAGAAGGGAGAAAAATGCACAATTCTGCGTGCCCAAATTTCTTCATTTTTTTTTTTTTTTCAGATCCCAGGCCCTTCCACTCTGGGGCTGGATTGCAACCACAGACTAGATCAAGCTGCCTGTTTGTTTTCTAGATTGCTGGAAACTGAAAATGAGCAGCTGCAGCACCAACTCCGGGAGCTGGTGGATGAGAACGGCCGGCTGTTCAAGCTTTTAAAGGAAAGAGATTTGGAAATAAAGCAGCTTCATAAGAAGATAGAAGAGGAACGGCAAGCTCTACTGGGTAAACACACAGTTGATTTAAATCGCCCCTTTTTTTTTACCAATTGTTTCTGCAATTCCTTTTTCCTGAAGATAGTGGTCCAGACCACCAAGTATCCCAGAATGATTTTTTTATTTATTTATGGCAAAGAACCTATTAGGGAATGGTTTTAGAAATTTCATCAAAGTGTAGATTAGTCCAGCAAAAATGCTAGATTTGTGGTACAAAGGAGAACAATTATCACACAAGGTGGGAAATTGAGCCGGTTTAGTATAATGCAGTGTTTCTCAACCTTGACAATTTTAAGGCATGTGGACTTCAACTCCCAGAATTCCACAGCCAGCATTGCTGGCTGTGGAATTCTGGGAGTTGAAGTCCACATGCCTTAAAATTGTCAAGGTTGAGAAACACTGGTATAATGGTTAAGGTGCTGGCCTGGAAACCAGGTGATGGTGAGTTCTAATTCTGCGCCACCTGACTGGGTAACTTTGGACCAATCACCAAAAGGTGAGTTTTAGTCCCACCTTAGGAATGAAAGACAGCTAGGTGACTTTGGGCCAATCACCAGGAGATAGTGAGTTCTGGTCCCATCTTTGGCATGAAAGATAGCTAGGTGACTCTCCTGGTGACGGAGAGTTCTAGTCCTGTCTTAAGCACCAAAGCTAGCTGGATTACCTTGGGTCAATCACCAGGAGATGGGGACTTCTAGGCCAGCCTTAGGTATGAAAGCCAGTTTTGGGTAAATTACCAGGAGACAGTGAGTTCTAGTCCCGCCTTAGGCATGAAAACTGACTGGGTGACTTGGGCCAGTCACCAGGAAATTGTGAATTCTAATCCCACCTTAGGCATGACACCTGGCTGGGTGACTTAGGGTCAATTACTCTCTCTCATCTCAACCCACTTCACAGGATAGTTGTGGAAAAAATAGGACGAGAAATAAGTATTATGTATGTTTGCTGTCATGAGTTACTTTAAAAAGTAGTACAGGTGGGACAAAATAATAAATAATATATAAATTGCATTCTCCTCCTCTCCACAAACCCCACCACCTTCTAGCCCTCATGATGTTCCCTAGCTGGGTCATGAAACATCTGCAAGAAAAACCCCCAAGCTCAGAGAGCACCAAGGACCCCTCAGTTCAACCCTGAACTACAAATATATCTCTGGGGAAAACTATTTTCTTATTTTCTCCTTTTCTTTCCCTTTTTTTTTTTTAAATTTTAGGGACCACTGGTTTATCAGGGGATGTTGCAGCGTCTAAAATTGTGGAACTGGCTAAACAAAACCGGCACATGACAGCTGAAATGGAAAGGGAGAAAACCAGAACGAAACAGCTGAACAACCGGATCAAACAGCTGGAAAAAGATGTGAGGCTTCGTTTTTTTTGTTGTTGTTGTTGTTAGCACAGGTGTTTTTGATAATGTCATGGCTTAAGGTTGAGTGACTTTAGGCCATTCACCAGGAGGTTGGGAGCTCTAGTTCCGCATTAGGCATGAAAGCCAGCTGGGTTAGGACCAACCCACCTGGTAGGATTGTTGTTGCAGGGAAAATAATAGGAGCAAAGCTGTTAGATATGCTCACCACCTTGAGTTAACATCCATCCATCCATCCATCCATCCATCCATCCATGTATCAAAAAAGGTGAAAAAACACCTACTGGTAATAATAACAATCACTAATCAAGGAAACTAATCAAAGAGAGAAGCAACCTAGAACTAAGGAGAAACTTCCTGACAGTGAGAACAATTAACCAGTGGAACAGCCTGCCTCCAGAAGCAGTAAATGCTCCAACACTGGAAGTTTTTAAGAAGAGACTGGACAGCCATTTGTCCGAAATGGTGTAGGGTTTCCTGCCTAAGCAGGGGGTTGGACTAGATGACCTTCAAGGTCCCTTCCAACTTTACTACTACTATTATTATTACTAATCAAATTATTCCAACCTATTTAAAATAGCTTTATTAAGTTTCAGAAAAATAAATAAAATAAAACACAAAGGCAAAGGGAATAAAACGGAAAAGTTAAAAAGTGACAATGTATTTATTTTTTTAATAAAATTTATTTAGCACTCATCTCAGGCTCTAAATATGTTTTATTTATCTCTAAATATGTTTTATCTATCTATCTATCTATCTATCTATCTATCTATCTATCTATCTATCTATCTATCTAATCTCCCACCCTTATTATTTTTATAAATAATTCAAGGTGACAAAGATATCCTTCCTCTTCCTATTTTCCTCACAACAACCTTGTAAATTGGCTGGATTAAGAGAGAATGACAGGTCCAGCCAGCCACTCTGATGCCCAGACAGAACTATTACTCACTGTCTCCTGTTTTCTAGCCTGGAATAGATTAAATTAAGGAAATAATATCAATACTTAAAAATACTTAAAAATATTAGCAACCAATATTGGGAAAAACATTTTAATATATTCCTAATTTAGTTTTAATCTAATCAATAAAAACCTATTAACTGTCAGCAAATCCTAACCATATAGTTGGCGATGCACAGTATTTTCACTTCCTCACATCATTACGCAGTAAAAAATTTTAATACCGGTAGTCCTTGGCTTATGACCACAATTGAGCCCCAAATTTCTGATGCGAAATGAGTTTTGCCCCATTTTACAACCTTTTTCGCCACAGCTGTTAAGTGAATCACTGCAGTTGTTAAATTAGCAACAGGGTTGTTAAGTGAATCTGGCTTCCCCCATTGATTTTGCTTGTCAGAAGATCCCAAAAGGGGATCACATGACCCCAGGATGCTGCAACCATCATAAAGACAAGTCAGTTGGCCAGTATCTGAATTTTGATCCTGGGAATGCTGTAATGGTCGTAGGTGATGAAAAACAGTCATAAGTCCTTTTTTCAGTGCCGTTGTGACTTCGAACAGTCACTAAATGAATGGTTATAACTTGAGGACTAGCTGTAGTCCTTGAGCAGCAAGAAATCAAATTATCCTAATCTTCTTGCTTTGCAATTGTGAACCCAATCAACAACTGATTCTAAAAGAAATTTCCACCCCCGTTTTAAGGTTTTATCTTTGTGACAATCACTTAATTTTAGTTCTGCTGGTTGAAGGCTAAAATAACCAAACTGTTGGTGTGGTTCCATTTCTGTTTTTGCTCGCCTTCAGAAGTTGTGGGTGCTCCATCATGGGAGATTTTTAAGAAAAGATCGGATTGCCATTTTTCTGGAATGGTATAGGGCAGTGATGGTGAACCTTTTAGAAACCGAATACCCCAAAACCGCCCCCTGGCCCCGCTCCGCCTCCTGCCCTGCCTGCTCCGCCCGCACCTGCCTCCTGCCCCGCCTGCCTGCAGGGTCACGCACCGCCTCCATGGCCTGCCGCAGATCGCTCAGGCAGCCCTGCAGCACCATGGCACGCTATGGGATGCGAGGGTGGAGTCTTGTCTCTGCTGCCCGGCTATGTCCTTGGCTGCGCTGCTCCGTGTGGGCCATGCCCAGGGGTGACTCTTCTCCAGGGGGGCTGCTGGTGAGGAGGGGGCCACGGGGGGAGGCAGGGCTGGGGCAACAGCACGCGTGCCCACAGAGAGGACTCCGAGTGCCGCCTCTGGCACGCATGCCATAGGTTCACCACCACTGATATAGGGTTTCCTGTTTGAGCCAGAGGGGGGCCATTTCTGTTGTTCGGTAGTCTATATGTCTTCATTTAGCATTTTGTACAAAACTATACCTGTCTGGTTTTTCCAGCTACAGATATCCAGTGTTAAGTTGCAAACTCATGGTGACAGCCCAGCTTTCCGTAAAAAGGCAGACACCACTATGGTAAGAGTTAAACTCCATAAAACTGTTCTTTTAAGATACGTTTTCTCAATTTACAGTAGCTTCTCTGGTTTGCAATATCCTGCTCTGTTTTATCTTTTTGACAACAGCCAAGGAGTTCGTGGTGACTGTGTTTAATTAATTGAATTGTTACATTCTTTTTTTTTTATCAGTGTGAAACAGTGAGGGAAGTTTGGGAAGGCAAACCATGTTTTCCCAATACAAATGTTATTAAACGTTTTACAAAGAATGTCAAAACTAACACAAAGAACCTCAAAACTGATACAAAGTAAGAAAGAGCAAACAGAGGTAAAGAAAAATAAAGGAAGAAAGGAGAAAGAGAAGTAAAAAGTACAGAAAGAGGGGGAAAGAATAGAAGCAAGAAGCTTGAATTTCTTCTCCAGCAAATATGCCCATTTAATTAGAATTAGAATTCCTCATTGGCCAAATGTGATTGGACGCACAAGGAATTTAATAAATATTAATGTTAATTAAAATATTATTTAATTTAATAATATTAATTAATTATTAAATATTTATTTATTATTTATTAAATAACTTGATTAGTTGATATTAATTTAATAAATATTAATTTAATAAATATTAACCCCTACACATAGTCCTCAACTTACGAATCACAACTGAGCCCAAAATTGCTATTGCTAAGCAAGACACTTGTTAAGCAAGTTGTGCCCCATTTTATGCCTTTTTGGCCATACTTGTTAAGCCAAACACTGCAGTTTTTAAATGAATTATACAGCCTTTAATCTGGCTTCCTCCATTGGCTTTGCTTGTCAGAAGCTAGTAAAACCAAATGCACAAGTATAGCATAGGTGGCACCATGCTCAATAGCAGTAACTGTGAGAGGGACCTCGGAGTCCTAGTAGACAATCACCTAAATATGAGCCAGCAGTGTGCTGCAGCTGCCAAAAAGGCCAACACAGTGTTAGGCTGCATTAACAGAGGGATAGAATCAAGATCACGTGAAGTATTAATGCCACTCTACAATGCCTTGGTAATGCCACACTTGGAATACTGCATCCAGTTTTGGTCACCACGATGTAAAAAAGATGTTGAGACTCTAGAAAGAGTACAGAGAAGAGCAACAAAGATGATTAGGGGACTGGAGGCTAAAACATATAAGGAACGGTTGCGAGAATTGGGTATGTCTAGTTTAACGAAGAGAAAGACAAGGGGGGACATGATAGCAGTATTCCAATATCTCAGGGGCTGCCATAAAGAAGAGGGAATCAAGCTATTTTTCAAAGCACCTGAAGGCAGGACAAGAAGCAAAGGGTGGAAACTAATCAAGGAGAGAAGCAACCTAGAACTAAGGAGAAACTTCCTGACAGTGAGAACAATTAATCAGTGGAACAGCCTGCCTCCAGAAGCAGTAAATGCTCCAACACTGGAAGTTTTTAAGAAGAGACTGGACAGCCATTGTCCGAAATGGTGTAGGGTTTCCTGCCTGAGCAGGGGGTTGGACTAGATGACCTCCAAGGTCCCTTCCAACTTTACTATTATTATTATTATTATTATTATTATTATTATTATTATTATGTCATAACTCATGTTGTACAGTGCCGTTTACCTTAGAATGGTCACTAAATGAATAGTAACTCACGGGTATCAAACTCGATTGCGTCACGTGACATATTGTGATGTTTTTTGCCTTTGTGGAGCCAGTGTGGATGTGGCCTGTGTGTGACGCATCCGGCCCACAGGCCACTAGTTTGACACCCCTGTTGTAACTCAAGGGCTACTTGTCGATTTACAATGTTGAAGGTTGAAGGTTGCTAAACATACTCTCTGCCCTGACTGATGAAACTGCTTGGATGAGCAGCAAAACTAACAGGAAAAAAAATAGTCCAGTTGCCTTGATTCAACCTTCAAACATCTGTCCAGTTACATTATAAGAATTAAAGCATCCAATAATAGGTGATCAGAGCCGCAGAAAAGAGCATTGTATTAAAAGCATAATAAAAAGGTAAAACATTAGCAACCGGAAAGGATCTCATGAGTCCCATAGAGTCGTTGCGAAAAGATAAAATGTCAGCCAAGTTGAAACTTCTTAATGTACACAGCTGAAAAATAAAACTTTCTGTAATTCCCCCTCAGAAAATTCTTCTCTTGAAGTTAGTTACAGCTAGTCGGTTGCTAAGGGAAAACTTCAACAGTTCATTCTTACAAGGTTATACTCAAAATGTGAGCTAAATTAAAGAAAGTGAACCCATATCCGTTTACTGGTGCAACAGTACTGCGAAACCCGTAGTTGTCAAGGTATTGATTTAACAGCTAACCAGCTTGTGTAATGTAAGATTTAAGATGTAATGATGGGAATGACTCAGCAGGGTCTGTGTCTCTTTAAGAGCCTTTGTATAAAGCAGGCATGTCAAACTTGTAACGTCACGTGACATCGTGTGACGTATTGGCAAGCCAGCAGTTTGACATACCTGGTATAAAGGGAAGGCTCTACTGCTGTGTTTTCTCTTTTCTGTTTCCTGCTGTAACTATTGTTTATTGGATCTGGCTGTATTAGCACGTGTATGTATTTTGTTCTGCTGTATAATATTGTAGATAGTGTAAGATAAACCACCATTTAATATAGACCACTGTTTACTGTGTTTACTCCTGGGTTATCTCGTGCAATAAGACTGTGCATGCTCTGACAGTAGTCCAGCTATTACAGAGTCCTCCTACGTGGCCCTCAGTGGCCATCCCCATTATGTGAAAATGTGGGGTCCTTGGTGGTCTCATTTTCTTGCAGACGTTTCATGACCCAACGAGATAACTTCATCAGTGCTAGAAGAGAGGTGGGTTTGGAGAGAGAAGGAGGCAGAGGAGGAGGAGGAAGAGGAGGGGGGTACTTGGTAATCTCTGAATTTGCAGACGTTTCACAGTCTCCAAGGGGCGCTGTGCACGTCAATGCGGAGCTTAGTTCTCAGCTGCAGAGGCTTTTCCTGAAGGCCTCTGACAGCGAAATGGAGGTCGGGGTGATGCAGATGCATGAATGGCAGCAAGCAACTGCAGGAGAAGTGGGTCGGCGAGGCAAGGCAGGTGTGGAGGGCATGGGAGATCTGGCTGCAACGGTAAGTGGGTGCGGGCCACGTGGGGAAGCTCCACCCCCCACCCTAGCTTGATTTTTAGGTGTGCTCCTTGCCCCAGGGTAGGTCTTATTTTAAGGAAAACAAGGTAGAAGGGAGTGGGTTTACAGAGAGAAGAAGAAAAAGGGAAGGAGGAAGAAGAGGAAGAGGAAGAGGAGGGGGGAGGAGGAGGAGGAGGAGGAGGAGGAGGAGGAGGAGGAGGAGGAGGAGGAGGAGGAGGAGGAGGAAGACTGTGTGGTTCTTGATGCTCTCTGAACTTGGTGGTTTTCTTACAGGCATTTCATTACCCAACTAAGTAACGCAATCAGTGTGAAATGGATTTGTTTAGCCATTTGGGTGATGTGATGTCACTCTTTAGGCTCTCTTGGTTTCCTTGAAAATTGTGCTAGTTAACTGAAGTGTATCTTTTGCCTTTCCCGGGGTCTCTGTTCTTCTCCGACAATGCGACAATTGTCTGAAAGAGCCCAGAAGTGAAAGCTTTGCATGAAAAATTGTCTGCCGTGAATCTCAAAGCATCTGAATATCGCAACCAGCTTCAGTCCACAAAACAGGAACTTAAGATGACACAAAAGGTAGGGGTGTGTGTGTGTATGTTTGTTCATGCATGTGTGCATGTATGGGCAACAGTGGCTGAGGGGGCAGGATAATTTTCATATCCCATTACCTTGTTAATCTTTTAACATTGTATTAACATTTCAAATTTGCTTGGCCAGAAGGAGATTAAATACAAGTAATCAACTTGGGACCAAAAACATGTTGCTAAGCAAGATGGTCATTGAGTGAGTCTGCAGTAGTTAATAAACCCCTGCAGTTGTTAAGTGAATCCTGTGGTCATTAAGCAAATCCAGCTTCCCCCATTGACTTTGCTTGTCAGAAGTTGTCTGCAAAGGTCACAAATAGGGATCACGCGACTCTGTCAGTGCCATAAGTTCGGGTTGTCCTTGTCTTACGACCATAATTGAGCCCAGATTTACAGTCATCCGCCGTTCCAGTTAAGCAGCTGACCATGCCTGATTTTATGACTTTTTTTTCCCGGTTGTCATTCAGCAAACACAGCGTTCATTAAGCAAATTATTTTTACCCAAAGTCTGCTTTTTTTGTGCTGGAAATAGAAGTAAATGTCGAAAAAAATGCCAAAAAAGTGCAGTCATGTGACCATTGGATGCTGCAAATAGCCACGAATGCAGGCTAGTTGCCAAGAGCCCAAATGTGATCATAAATACAGGTAGCCCTTGACTTACGACCACAAATGAGCCCAAAATTTATGTGGCTAAGTGAGTTTTGCCCCATTTTACCATCTTTCTTGCCACAGTTCATAAGATGCAGTCATTAAGTGAGTTGTTAAGTGACACTGGCTTTCCAATTGACTTTGCTTGTTCAGAAGGTCACAAAAGGGGATCACGTGACCCCAGGACACTGCCACTGTCATAAATATGAGCCAGTTGCCAAGCGTTCAAGTTCTGATCACATGACCATGAGGATGCTGCAACGGTCGTGTGAAAAATAGTCCTAAATCACCTTTTTCAGTGCCATTGCAACTTTGAACGGTCACTAAACAAACTGTTGTAAGTTGAGGACTGCCTGTTTCGAGGGTGTCAGAGTTTCAAAATCTGGTCAAAGATCCGTCATAGCTTCAAATGGTCGTTAAGCAACCAGTAGTTAAGCAAGGACTTCCTGAACAGGCACCTAAATCACAATTACATAAGAGGGATTTTGCTACAACCAGTTGTAAAGTTATTTTTTTCCCCAGCATTTTAACTTCAAACCGTCATTAAATGAATGGTCATAAGTTGAGAATTAACTGTATGTACATGCATCACAACCATGCATTGCACAAAAGGGAGGGGACAGCACCCCTCACCACAGTGGCTGTCCCGGAAAATGTCTACAACCATTTTATCATTTTGTGAGGTACACGTTTCCTTCATGTAATAAAATACTGAATGGAAAACAGACACATAAACTGCAAGAAAATGATTGGGGAGCTCAAATTTAATCAGGACTCATTTTACGTCCTAATCTATGTAAAGATAGATCTGATCACGCATAATCCTCGACTTACGATGGTAATTGAGCCCAGAATTATAGTTGTAAGCTTCTTCTTCTTGCGCCATATCCATTATCAGACATTGGCGATCATGTTGGTGATCCTGTTTTTATCAGCAGCCGCACGAAAAAGTGCTGCTGAGTTTTGTCCAAACCAGTCCCTTAGATTTTGAAGCCACGATGTTCTTCTTCTGCCAGGACCTCGTTTGCCTTCAATCTTTCTGGGTGTCGCATCAAGTGTCCGAAATATTCTAATTCTCGTTTTTTAATTGTTTTGATGATTTCCCTTGGCTTTCCCAGGCAGCTTATCACCTCCTCATTTCTGATCTTGTCAGCCCAGCTTATACGTAACAGCCGCCTGTCAATCCACATTTCAAATGCTTCTAGTCTCTTCTGGTGGCCTTCTGTCAGAGACCAACTCTGTCTACTCCATAGAGCAGGATAGAAAAAATATAGCATCTGACAAGCCTGGTTTTCAGTCTTAGGCTTATGTCGTGACTGCAGAAGACCTTTTTCGTTTTGAAGAATGCTGTTCGAGCTTTTTCTATCCTTGTCTTTACTTCAGTGGTCATGTCCCAGCTTTCACGTAAATTAGAACCGAGGTGCGTGATCCTTTCAACTTTTTCTTCTGAATTTATTGGTGGTAAATGAACGGGTTGTTTGCTGACGACCATGATCTTGGTTTTTGAGGTGTTAAGTTTCAAGCCATATTTTTCAGATATTTCTATGTTGTAAGCTACATCAGTCTTAAGCGGGTCACCACAAGACCATGCCCAATTTGCAACCTTTTCTTTTGCTATCGGAGTAAAGTGAACATGACATTAATTGAACATTGTAGTTGTTAAGTGAAGCCATTGTCTGCAGTGGGTTTTTGGAGGTTTTTTTTTTGCCAGAAATCGGAAATACAGATAGTCCTCGACTTATGGCCACAACTGAGCCCAATATTTATGTTGCTAAGTGAGACCGTTGTTTAGTGAATTTTGCCCCATTTTACGACCTTTCGTGCCACAGTTGTAAAATGAATCACTGCAGTTGCTAAGTTAGTAACACAAGTTGTTAAGCGAATCTGACTTCCCCATTGTCAGAAGGTCACAAATGGTGATCACATGGCCCCAGGACCCTGTAACCGTCATAAGTACAAGACAGTTGCCAAGCATCTGAATTGATCACATGACCACGGGGATGGCTACTATGGTTATACGAAAAATGGTCCTTAAGCCAGTTTTTTCCAGTGCTGTTGTAACTTCAAATGGTCACTACAGTAAAGTTACAAGTTGGAGATTACTTGGAAATAAATAAATTTAATAAATAAATTGATATATAAATCAATAAAAATAAATAAATAAAAGTTGTAAATTGTGGTCACTGTGAGTGTGGGACGTTGCCAATGCCAAAAATGTGATCAGGTGACTGGGGGTGGGCAGCTGTCAGAAATCTGGATCGTAAATAGTCCTGGTGAGGGGCATTGCAGTTTTGAATGGTTGCTAAGCAAGCAGTCATAAGCTGAGGACTTCCTGTATTTGCTGGGCTAAAGGACTTTTATGCAAAGCATTTTCAGCCCTGATTTCGGCCTGTTTTTGCTTTTCTCTTTCAGCTTCTAACCAACGAAGTGGGCGTAGACGTCAATATCCAAAATCTTTTGTCCAACCCTGGCAGCTGGCGAGGACGGGCTCAGCAAATCCTTGTCCTGCAAGGCAGAGTGAGTCAACCTTCCTCCTTACAAGTCTATTTCGCTTCACAAGTTCTGCTAGCAACTGTTGGCTTACACCAGTATTTCGCAACTACTGTCGAATTTAAGCTGTGTGGACTTCAACTCCCAGAATTCCTCAGCCAGACTAGCTGAAACTATACTTGATTGACATGAGATGGTCAGCCATGGATGGAATTTGTAGACCCACATGGCTGGCTTTGCAAATAATAATAATAATAATAAACTGAAGGAATCAAGATGCCCCACGAAAATAACATTAAGAGTCTGGATGAGGAAGAGTACTACAAATACTTGGGTATCCTTCAAGCTGAGCCGAGGTGGCACAGCAGTTAGAGGGCAGTACTGCAGGCCACTTTAGCTGACTGTGTCCAGCAGGTCAGCGGTTCAAATCTCACCGGCTCAAGGTTGACTCAGCCTTCCATCCTTCCGGGGTAGGTCAAATGAGGACCCAGATTGTTGGGGGCAATGTAAATATATATATACATTGCTTACTGGTGTACACCGCTTAGAGAGTGTTTGCACTTAAAGCAGTATATAAGTCTCATAAATAAATAAATAAAAATAAATAAATCAAGCACACTGAAGTCAAGAAAAAGATTAGAGGTGAATACATCAAGAGAGTGAAGAAGATCTTAAAATCCAAACTCAATGGAGGAAATACCATAAAGGCAATCAACACCTGGGCAATCCCAATCATTAGGTACACAGCTGGAATAGTGGACTGGACTCAAGCAGAACTAAAAGCAATGGATAGGCAGACCAGAAAAATAATGACAATGAATTATGCCCTTCATCCACGCAGTGACATTGATAGACTTTATCTACCAAGGCAAATAGGTGGGCATGGAATGCTACAAGTACATCAGATGGTTGAAGAAGAAAAAATGGCTTTGGAAGAATATCTGAAGAACAATGATGAAGATGCACTGAAATTAGTATATCAGGAAGACTTACTAACTACTGGAGAGACCAAACTGGCCTACAAGAAAGCACTACATGGCCAATACATGAAAAAAATAGCTGGGAAAGCAGATAATAATAAAACCTGGCTGTTGAGTCCTTGGCGAAAAGCAGACACGAGAAGCAGTTGTAGTTCTCAGTTTTCTTTATTCTGTGTTCAGCTTACAAGTAGATGGCTTCAGCAGCTCCCAAAACCTCCCAGCTTCTTATATAGGCATTTCCCGGGTCAATGCGATACTTTTCCCGCGCCAGCACCCGCGCATGCGCACGGCGCTGGCGACAGCCTGTCTGGTCCCGGCCAGCTTTGCACCTGCCCGGGACTGCCTGCAAACGCCCCGAGCCGTTTGCAAGGCTCGGGACATAACACCCCTGTCCCCCGGGCTAAAACTACTACCAACATATAATCATTTATTTTATGCAGTGTTCTGCTTCTCAGTGCTCCTATCGTTACCTGGCTTTTGTTTAGCCAGCAATGTTATGTAATCCTCTAAGTATTTAGGAGACTTCCGTGCTCTCTGTGACCTTCTCAGCTCTGGGTTTCTGACAGGTGTTCCCTGACTGAGGGGTGACAAGAGCCTGTTCCCCTTATCATGCCTTGGTGCCTTCCAAGGACTTTGCCCCAATGCCTGGCCTGCTTGCTTGCTCACCGGGCTCGTCAGGCCAGGGCTCCTGTCACTTTGTGACCTGGTTGACCCGCCTAGCTGTAGGCCCTCGGGCCCCTTGAAGTGATAGCCACTGCTGGGCGTCTCTATAGAACCTCCTAGGTCCGTCCAAGACCTGTCAGGAGGCTGTCCAATCCCTAAGCCCCGTTCTGTGTACGGGCTCGTGTGGGTCTCTGTACCTTCCCAAAACTCAGTTACTCCCTGATTTGGGCTAGAGGTGTTGCGGTCGGGACTTGGTTCCTCGACCACCTCCCTGTAAGTATGACCCCCTGTAGGATTAGGGGTAAGGTCAGGCCAACTCTGGGGATTGTGTGCCAGCTCTCTTGCGGGGAATGATTTGTTGGGATGCTCCCGGGTATCCTCCGTGACTGGAGTGCTGTGCAATGTGAGTGGAAAGTGAGTATGCCCCCGGGGTGACTCCCTGGCTGGAGTAGGCATGAGTGCCTGTTGTGTGGGTAAGCTCCATGAATTCCTTTTCGGAGCACTTGCGGAAGCTTGAAATGGGCCATCAGTGGCTCCATCAGTGGAGATGGGCAGCAGCTCGTGCCCTTCCCTTTGCTCCAAAGGGTCCCCCTCCCCCCTGGAAAAGACCCAGGAGTCTCAGCTGGAAGATGCCGCCTAGGGTGGAGTTGGTCGATGTGCCTGCGCAGGACACGACCGTTGTCCAGGGCTACCTCGTAGGATAGAGGACCCGTGACCCTGGAAACAGAAGTGGGGACCCATGTATGACCAGGCCCGTAATTGCGAGTCCAGACCGGGGCACCCTCAAGTATTTGTCTAGGTGCCCTAGGATGTGAGGTAGATGAAGGCAATCTGTCCGGATGCAACCGGTCAAGTTTAGTAGTAAGTTGACGCCCCCAACGAAGTTCAGCTGGGCTTCTCCCTGTAGAAGTGGATGGTGTGGTGCGATAAGAAAGGAGAAAGTCAGCCAACCTGTGATGCCAGTCCCCGTAGGTGAGTCTTTTCAAGGCGTCCTTTGTGATGCGCACCATACGTTCAGCCATACCGTTGGTGGACGGTGGAAGGGTGCAGACGTGGCATGACGAATCATGTTAGCCTGTAAGAAAGCTTTCAGGCGCAGACACACAGCTGCAATGTGTCCTTGTTTGCCGCATGCCCGGCAGGTAGCGGAGCGGAACTTGCAGTCGGTTCTCCTGTGGCGACCTCCACAGCCGATGCACTTGAGTGGAGCTGAAAAGCTTCCCTTCTGATTTCCTTCCTTCATGGGGTGGAGACGGTCGACTTCCTCGTCCGGATCCTCCTCGGAGTTTCCTTGGACATCTTCCTGGTGCACAGATGCAACTTCTGGACTGTTTCTGATCGGCTGCATGTTCTTGACGGCGCCGCCTGCTGCTTCTTCTGCGGTGACTTCTCTTAAGGCATCTTGGAAGGACAGTTCTTCTTTGGCGAAAAGCCTCTGTTGTAGATCTCGATGCCTTAAGCCGCACACAAATCAGTCCCTCAGTTGTTCTTCGAGGTCCTTGAACTCGCAGTGCTTGGCGGCCTTCCTCAATGCGGCGATGTATTCTTTGGCCGACTCTCCGGATCGTTGATCCCTCTGCTCGAAGGTGTGGCGCCATGCGATGATGGACATCTTAGGCTGGAAGTGCTCCTTCAGTAGCTTCTTTAGATCTGCGTAGCTAACAGACTCTACTGGAACAGGTGCTGCAAGGTTTTCTGCGATTTCGAAGGCGTCATGACCGCAAACACAAAGCAGGGTGGCAGCCTTCAAGCTCTCTTCCCTCACTTGGTTTGCCTTGAAGTAGTTCTCCACCCTGGCTACGTAGGACTCCCACCGCTCTGGATGTGAGACGTCGAACTCCGAAAGCCTTCCAACCTTTGCCATCTTCAGGAGACGGGTATATCAGCCAGCCTACCCCCGAATGCGCACTGGATTGGCGAGTAGCTGCCGAGTCAACGCCGTTCCGCCGCTCAGGACTCACTTGGGTAAGCTTACACTTCTTCCTTTCCAGCTGATGTAAGGCAATCCCACCTTCGTCGCCAGTGTTGAGTCCTTGGCGAAAAGCAGACACGAGAAGCAGTTGTAGTTCTCAGTTTCCTTTATTCTGTGTTCAGCTCACAAGTAGATGGCTTCAGCAGCTCCCAAAACCTCCCAGCTTCTTATATAGGCATTTCCCGGGTCAATGCGATACTTTTCCCGCGCCAGCACCCGCGCATGCGCACGGCGCTGGCGACAGCCTGTCTGGTCCCGGGCAGCTTTGCACCTGCCCGGGACCGCCTGCAAATGCCCCGAGCCGTTTGCAAGGCTCGGGACATAACACTGGCAATGGCTAAGAGCAGGAAAATTGAAGAAAGAGATCAAGGGACTAATTCTGGCTGCACAAGACCAAGTCTTAAGGACAAATGCATACAAAGTCAAAATTGAGAAGACAGCAATAGACAGTAAGTGCCGCCTATGCAAAGAAGCTGAAGAAACAGTGGACCACTTGGTAAGCTGTTGCAAGAAGATTGCACAAACGGATTACAAGCAGCGGCATGACAAAGTAGCAACAATGGTGCATTGGAAGATCTGCAAAAAATATCATTTGCCTGTAAGCAAAAACTGGTGGGATCATAAAATAGAGAAAGTCATAGAAAATGATAAAATTAAATGCTCTGGGACTTCAGAATTCAAACAGACAAGCACCTGCAACATAACACCCCAGACTTAACAATTGTCGATAAGAAAGACAAAAAAGTCTGGATCGTGGACGTGGCAGTGCATGGAGATAGCAGAATAGAAGAGAAAGAACTGGAGAAGATAACAAAATACAAAGACCTACAAATAGAAATAGAAAGACTGTGGCAAAAGCAAGCAAGGGTAATACCAATAGTGATAGCCTCCTTGGGTGCAATCCCAAAACAACTGAGCACCACTTGAACACCATTGGCATTGACAAATTCACTATTAGTCAATTGCAAAAGGTGGCCTTACTAGGAACTGCTTCCATCCTGCGACGATATCTGTAATACCATCAAACATCCACATCTGCCTATCCCAGGTCCTGGGTAAGGACTCGATAGGTAGACAAAATGCCAAATCCAGTCTGAACATCTGGCTGACTGTGCGATGATCGATAATAATAATAATAATATAACAACAACAACAATTAGAATAGAGCTGGAAGGGACCTTGGAGGTCTTCTAGTCCAGACCCCTGCTCAAGCAGGAGACTCTATATCATTTCAGACAAGTGGCTGTCCAGTCTCTTCTTTTGACACCAAATTAAACCACAGCTTAAGAGGATGTGTGAACCAGGCTGAAATATTTATTACATATTTTAGCCCACTTTTATTAATTTGTAAGTAACTCAAAGCAGCAAGAACATATTTAATACTCCTCCTATTTTCCCCACAACAAAAAACAATCTTGGGTTGAGAGAGAAGGAAAGTCACTCAGTGGCTTTCATGCCAAAGGCGGAACTAGAACTCCCAGTCACCTGTTTTTTGGCCCAAAGTCACCCAGCTGTCTTTCAAGCCTAAGGTAGGACTAGAATTCCTAGTTTCCTAGTGATTGGCCCAAAATCACCCAGCCCACTCTCATGCCTGAGGCAGGACTAGAACTCACTATCTCCTAATGATTGGCCTAAGTCCAGTGGTGGGATTCAAATACCTGAACATCCAGTTCTCTGCATGGATGCAGGCTTCAGCCTCTGAAGACTAGAATAGACTTCCGGAAGTGACATCCATGCACTTCCTGTGGATCGTTCTAGGCCTAGGAGACCACCTCCAGGCCTCCAAGGCCTAGAACCGACTTTCAGAAGCAGCATGGGTTCAGCCAGTTCTTCGAACTCAACAAAATTTAGCTACCGGTTGTATTGAACCGGTGCAAGCTGGCTGAATCCCACCACTGCCTAAGTCACCAGCTGGTTTTCATGCCTACAGTGGGGACTAGAACTCACCACCTCCTGGTGATTGGCCTAAAGTCACCCAGAAGGCTTCCATGCCTATGGTGGGACTAGAACTCACCCTCTCCTGGTGATGGGCAAGAAAGAATTTTTCAAATCTAATTAGCTAGGATTGATGGACATCCCAATGCCAGTTTCTGTCCCCTTTAATCTAGTCCCCGTGAAAAGAATTTATACCGTATAAATCAGTTTTAGGCCTACTGTATCCTGCTTATATTCCCCTTTAGGTACGGGAGTTAGAAACCCAGCTGAATTGTCACAAAAGCAAGTTATCGGAGAACGATGCTAACGAAGACCCGTTAAGCCTCACTGACTCCAGGAAGTCCTCAGCCCAAGTCAAGAACCATTTGCGGATTCGAACCTTGGAAAGGGAGAAGAAAGAAGCTTTGGAAGTAAGGAGTTCTTTCCACATGAATCTAGTAAAACTGATAATTTTGAAACACCTAATGGGTTTTCTACAAGTTGGTAGATGCTCCTCCATCCATAGAGTCAGTGGACAAAAAGCGTGGGTTCAGGTTTGCTAACTCTAATCCTTAATCCTAATGCTAACCTTTAACCCTAACCCTTAAACCCTAACCATTGACCCTTAACCCTAACCTTTGACCCTAATCATAACCCTAACTTTAACCCTAATACTAACCCTAACCCTAATCTCAACCTAGCCTAGCCCTGATCATAACCCTAATTATAACCCTAAACCTAACATATCCCTAACCTTTAAACCCTAACCCTAGCTTAACCCTAACATTTAATCCTAATCCTAACTTTGATCCTAATACTAACCCTAGCCCAAACCCTAAACCCTAAGCCTAAGCCTTAACTCTAATGCTAACCTTTAACCCTAACCCCTAAGGCAGCTCTAATCCTAACCCTAACCCTTAGACCTAACCTTTAACCCTAATCCTTAACCCTAACCTTCAATCCTAACCCTAACCCTACCCTCCACGAAGGTGATTACTTTCTGGGGTTTACATTCGTACGATGCAACCTTGAGACTCCTCACTTCAACCATCTTTTTCAACCAAAAGCTGTTAGCAACCAATAGGAACCAGACGGACATAGAACCTGTGAGCATAAACTCCTTGGAATTTTTTCCTCCAAGGTGAATTTTTTCTCCCACTGGGTAGGACAGACGTCCTACCAAATCTGGTTTGGTAGAAAAAGAAGTGTAGAGTTGAGAATCAGAGAGTCTTAAGGTGGAATCAATCCTTCATCTAAGTTCAGAAGGGGCCACAAAAATAATTTTGGGGTGCCTTGATGCCCAGTTTCAGCATCTCTTTCTTCTCTGTCTTGGTGGCAGAAGCTCATGAATCAGTACCAAGTCCTTCAGAATGACCACGAGGATGTGAAGAAGAAGCTGGAGGGGTCCAAAGCCAGGAACAAGGTCTTGTCCAACGAGGTGAAGACTCTGAAGGATCAAATTTCCACCCTGATGGAGAAGGGGAAGCACGACAACGAACTTGTGGATGCTCTCGTGGTACGATTGGCTGATGGTGGTATTCCATGCGTGAGAGACTTGGGTCTGGCTGTACAGGTAGTCCTTGACTTACGACCCCCATTGAGCCCAAAATTCATGTTGCTAAATGATAAATTTGTTAAGTGATCTTTGCCCCATTTATAACCTTCCTTTCCACAGTTGTAAAGTGAATCCCTGCAGCTGTTAAGTGAGTAACACGGTTGTGAAGCGAATCTGGCTTCCCCATTAATTTTGCTTGTCGGAAGATCGCAAAAGCTGAACACGATATCCCAGGATGCTGCAACCATCATAAATATGAGTCAGTTGCCAAGGGTCTGAATTTTGATCACGTGACCATGGGGATGACACAACTGTCGTAAGTAAGAAAAATGCTCATGTCACGTTTTTCAGTACCGTTGTAACTTTCAGTGCTCACTAAATGAAATATTGTAAATCGAGGACTGTGTATTCACAGTTATATCAATGTGAATTTGTCAGTGTACGATCTTCTGCAAAGTCTGGGTCCAGTGGTTCCCAATTTATAATTCCCCCGAATTTCCAATTAGTTGGTATGTGTGAACTTCAACTCCCAGAATTTCCTAGCCGGCATTCTGGATATGGAATTCTGGGAGTTGAAGTCCACACATGCTGGCTGTGGAATTCTGGGAGTTGAAGTCCACGCATGCTGGATGGGGACTTCTGGGACTTGAAGCCCACAGCTCTTCAAGTTGTTGACATTGAGAAACAATGTTCAGAGTAAGAGAGATTAAGGCAAGGATTTCATGTCCTGCATTCAGGGGACTGTTTCACATTGTTTTTGTCATCTCCCAGCCAATAATGGGTTTGTTTAATGAGTGCAGCATTCACTTAATGACCGTTACAAAAAAGGTTGTAAATTGTGACTTGCTTTACCACCATCACAATTTATGACCATAATGGGGCTGGTAAGTTGTTGCAGGTCAAAAACTATCTGTAATCCGTATCTAAAAGATACGTTTTTTTATTCAGGAATTTCTCCAGCAGTCCCAAAGTGGGTGTCATAAAACATAGAATCCCAGGACTGGAAGGGACCTTAAAGGTCTTCTAGTCCAACCCCCTCTTCAAGGCAGGAGACCTTCTACCATCCTGGTCAAGTGGTTATCCAGTCTGTTTTTGAAAACCTCCAGTGTTGGAGGACCCACAACTCCAGGAGACAAGCTACTCCATTGATTACAAGATAGTCCTCGACTTACAACAGTTCATTTAGTGACCATTCAAAGTTACGGCATTGAAAAAAGTGACTTATGACCATTTTTCACATGACCGTTGCAGCATCCCCATTCAGACGCTTGGCAACTGGGTCATATTTATGATGGTGACGGTGTCCCAGGGGTCATGTGATCCCCTTTTGTGACCTTCTGACAAGCAAGTCAGTGGGGAAGCCCAGATTCATTTAACAACTGTGTTAACTAACAATTTCAGCAATTCATTTAACAACTGTGACAAGAAAAGTTGTACAATGGGTCAAAACTCACTTAACAAACGTCTCGTTTAGTAAACAGAAATGTGGGAATTGATTGTGGTCATAAGTCGAGGATTGCTTGTCATTGGAATTGCTGTTAATTCACAGTTAAATGGTTTTAAGTCCATTTAAAACATAAAACATAGAAAAATAGGGTTGGAAGAGACTCAGGGGTCTTCTAGTCCAACCCCTTTTTCAAGGCAGGGCACCTTCCACCATCCCGGTTAAATGTTGTCCAACTTTTCATGAGATGCAGAAAGAAAAACAGGGTTCTCTCTCTCCCTAACTTTCCCATCAGAGCCAGCAGAAAGAAATGCAAGGCATCTTAAAAAATCTGAGCCAGCAAGAAGACAGGAACGTGGAGGGTGAAAAGGCTGTGGGGAAGAAGCTGAATGCTGAGATCCAGAAGCAAAACTGCCTCATTGAGCAGCTCAAGGAGATGGTGGCCGAGCGAGAAGCTCAGGTGAAGGAGCTCGAAGAGATGGTCAGGCAGCTGAGGTTGCAGGTAAGGCACCTCAGAGGTGAGAAGCGAGGATAGAGGCATGGGGAATGGCCAGAAAGGACAACAATCAGAAAACAGCTTGAGAAAATGTCTCCCTGAATTCATCAAACATTGAACTTGATATCAGGGGAAGACACAATTTGAGAGCTAGTTTGGTCTAGTGGTTAAGACGCTGGTCTAGAAACCAGGAGGTGGTGAGTTCTAGTCCTGCCTTAGGCATGAAAGCCGGCTGAGTGATTTTGGACCAATCATCAGGAAACAACAAATTCTAGTCCCACTTAGGCATGAAAGATAACAAGGTATCTTTGGTCCAATCACCAGGCGAGAGTGAGTTCTAGTTCCGCCTTAGGTATGAAAGTCAGCTGGGTGACTTTGGCTCAATTACCAGGAGATTGTGAGTTATAGTTTCACCTTAGGCATAAAAATCAGCTGGGTGACTTTGAGCCAATCACTCTCTCTCGGCCCAGGCCACCTCACAGGGTGGTTGTTGTGGGGAAATAGGAGGAAGGATCATCATGTATATTTGATACTTAAATTGTCAAGTAATAAAGTCGGGATAAGCATCTAATCAATCAATCAATAAACAGAAGCCCCGGGCATTCAAAATCGCTTGGCTGGTTGTTTTTTGTAGCAGCAGCACCTTCCCTCCCAAGAGGAGAGTGGATTAGATTCAGGTTCCACGTTGTCTGCAGAGTCTTTAGAAGAGGAAAATCAGAATTTAGCCACCAAGAAGGAAGACTATAGCAGAACGGACAGCTCTGTAAGGTAGGAAAGGCAATGTTCTAAATCCCCAATTAAATTATTATTTTTTTTTTTAAAGAGTCTTTACCAGTTCTGATCCTTAATCATTATCCTGAGCCAGATTGAAAAACCTTTGGATAGAGAAACATTTCTCAGAGGTATACCTAAGCAAGATGGTGGTTGAGTGAATTTTGTCCATTTGATGGCCTTTCCTGCCACCGTCGTTAAGCGAATCACTGCAGTTTTTAACTCAGCAACACGGTTGTTAAGTAAATCCGGCTTCCCCTTCTGACTTTGCTTGTCAGAGAGTCACAAAAGGAGGATCATATGACCCTGGGAAACAGCAACCGTCAAAAGTACAAGTCAGTTGTCAAGCATCTGAATTCTGATCACGTGACCATGAGGGATGCTTCAACTGTTGAAAGGGTGAAAAATGGTCATAAGTCGCTTTTTTCAATGCCGTTGTAACTTCAAACGGTCACTAAATGAATTCTTGTAAGTCAAGGACTGGCCTGTGTCTACTCCCATCTCAAATGCCTCGAAGTGGATGATGGGTTTGCTTAAAGCAGTGGTTCTCAACCTTTTTAATGCTGCGACCCCCAACCGGTCGTAAGTCGAGGATTACTCAACTGGTGCAGCACCGTTTGCAGAATGGGCCTTTTGGTGGGCTCAGCAGGGCAGAGACAGCCTGGACAATTCCTATTGGCTTTTGAAAGCCAATAGAATTAGACTCTATTCAAGAGAGTCTATTCTATTGGCTTTCAAAAGCCAATAGAATAAAAGGGAGTAGCACAGCTAAGGAAAAGGGGTAAAAAATGGCGGACTGCGTTGTTTGGCGACCCCCGTGAAATGGTCGTTCGACCCCAAATGGGGTCCCGACCCACAGGTTGAGAACCACTGGCTTAAAGATTGCAGCATTTGCTTTGTGACCCTGTGCTCGCTTAACAACTACAGCCAGAAATAATATAAAATAGGACACGATCAAAAACAACCTTCTTAATGACAGTCATGACTTACAGTAAACTATTTGTATAGTTTACTGTGCTGGTTACTATCGTCCCAGGTGGGGAACAAACTCAACTAGAATTTACAAACCAGAATAGCTGGACCCACTATACATACATCCGGGTCTACAGCAAACTAGCCTTCATCTGGATTGCATTCACTTCTGATGACATCTTGTATTGTGTGAAAGTTTGGAATTTTTGACCTCCAGAAATCTGGATTTGAAGGGAATTTAAAGATCAACTAGTCCAGGTGTTGGTGGACTCCACTTTGCTGGAGGTGTTTAAACAAATATCGAAGTACGGTAATAGGTTCCTTTGCTGAATAACAAGAGTTGGAAGAGACCTTGGAGGCCATCTAGTCCAACCCCCTGCCCTAGCAGAAAACCCCATATCATTTCAGACAAATGGCTGTCCAATCTCTTCTTAAAAACCTCCACTGATGGAGCACCCACAACTTCTAGAGGCAAGTTGTTCCACCGTTTGATTGCTCTGGGATTAGAGAATAACAGAAGAAGAGTTGGAAGGGACCTTGGAGATCTTCTAGTCCAACCCCCTGCCTTAGCAGGAGACCTTACACCATTTCAGGCCAATGGTTGTTCAATCTCTTCTTTAAAACCTCCAGTGACGGAGCTCCCAAAACTTCTGGTGGCAAGCAGTTCCACTGGTTAATTGTTCTCCCTGTCGGGAAATTTCTCCTTAGTTCCAGGTTGCTTCTGTCCTTGTTTAGTTTCCATCCCCTGCTGGCTCAGGTTGGACTAGATGATCTCTAAAATGGCCCCATCACCCTTTCATTCTAGGATTATAGGATGCTTCGAACGGCTGCATCCATTGCAAACTAGAATTCCCCCAGACGGTGCTTCTGATCCCACCCTGGTTAGCAGGAGCCTGTCCAGAGGCTGTTAGATGTGTGGTTTAGAGGCAGAAGTGAAAAATGTGACATATGTTTTGTGTGTTCCAGGACAGTGTCGAAGATGGGACACACCCTGGTGGATTCTGCAGCAACGTTAATTCCAACATCTCCTAGCAGGTTGGTGCAAAATTTGCTTGCTTGATGGCTATTCTGACTCTGAGTTAAAAAATGCCTTCTTTTAAATCAAGTCAGATAGATAACTCAATAGAAATGATTTCATAACAAAAAATATATTTCAGTCAGAAAGATTACTTGCATTCATGCTGTGGTTTTTACTTCTGGAAAATACATCCTTTGTCCATTCCTATAGGTAAAAGAATGATGCTCTCTTCCATACCATCTTTATAACGGCGCAGGCTCAGCGGGTGACATCTGATGGCCCATGCTTCTTTCAGACAAAGACATTCCAATCTGGCTTGTGTCCAGGAAGTCTCCCAATGCCCTTTAGAGACTCCTCCCACTGACCTATTAACAAATCAGCATTTAACCCAATAACTGCCAGATATTCTAACATACTGATACATTCTCTCTAGTTAGGGTTACATAGAGCTATACAAGGTTACATAGAGCTATATGATTCAGAACAATGGCAATGCCCAAATTTTTTCCTTCTCTTCCAGGGAAGTCTGTGGGAGGCCTTAATTTATTTATTTGTGCAATACATTTTCTGAAGGGCTAGGGTGAGGGTTCAAAAGACCATCAAAAAGCTAGGAGAGAAACAAAAAAGGCACAAAGATCTTATCGCTTGCAATTAACCCCCAGTGAAGCAACAGCAAGATTTAACACCAGACCAACAGCTTCCAAGTCAATGGGGAAAAGACTGCAGTGATTCTCTTAACAACTGTGGCAAAAAACGAGGGCATAAAACCTGGCATTGGTCATAAGTTGAGGACTGCCTCTACGAATAAAAAAATCTGATTTGGCTTTTGGCTTCCTCAGCCTTCCTGAAAAGCTAAGCAGGGTCAGACGTGGTTCAATCTTGGAGGGGGGACAATCTGGAAAGTCCAAGGCTATCTTCACTCACAGAGAAGTTGAAGAAAATTCTGGAACATGTTAAAAGTGTGTGTTGTTCTAATGCACAAAAACATGTGTGTTTATAAGTATATGTGTTGCTCGGCTCCATGGCAGTCGTAAGTCGAGGTCTACACATACAGACACCCACACCCACACATACATACACACACATATATGTGTGTTTCTGTGTGTGTAGTCCTTGACTTACTACCACAACTGAACCCCACTGAGCAAGACAAGTGAGTTTTGCCTCATTTTACGACCTTTCTTGCCACATTTGTTAAGTGAATCCCTGCAGTTGTAAGTTAGTCACAAAGCCGTTAAATGAAATAAATGTTGACTTTGCTTGTCAGAAGGTCATAAAAGGGGATCACACAGGACACTGCAACCATCATAAATACGAGTCAGTTGCCAAGCATCTGAATTTTGATCACATCACCATAGGGATGCTGCAACGGTCATAAGTGAAAAGCAGTCATCAGTCACTTTTTTCAGTGTCATAGTAACTCCAAATGGTTGTATGTAGAGGACTACCTGTAAATGTCCTTCCCCTTAATATCATCTGGGAAACTGACATGGGAAGGTGGTTTGCGACGTCTCATAAGTACCTGCTTGGGCTTTGCAGGATGGATCCTGGATGCCATAAATTGGGCTTTCGGCCTTGTTTACAAAAATCCGTTTTATTTTCATTCGGCCAAACCAAACTGATCTTCTCTCTGTTTTAGTGCACTACAGCTGAACAACATCGATTTCAGAACCCTGCAGGCTCAGATCACCGAATACAAGACTCTGTGTCAAGCAGCAGAAGTGGAACGAGACCGTTTGATAGAGCTGGTCAGCATCCTACAGAAAAGGTATCGTGGGTCGCTGAGCACAAAATTCCCTGGCTTTTTTTGAAACTCAGAGTCCCTTGTCCCAAGTCACTCAGATGTTGAGACTCCACAAAGACTCTGGAAAGAATGCGCAGAAGAGCAACAAAAATGATCAGGAGGCTGGAGGCTAAAAGATATAAAGAACGGTTCCTGGAATTGGGTGTGTTTAGTCTAATGAAAAGAAGGCCTAGGGGTGACATGATAGGAATCTTCCAATATCTCAGGGGTTGCCGCAAAGAAGAGGGGGGGTCAACCTCTTCTCCAAAGCATCTGGAAGCAATGGATGGAAACAAATCAAGGAGACATCACTGAAAGATGAGCCAGCCATGTGCTGCAGCTGTCCAAAAGTCCAACACAGTGCTAAGCTGCATTAACAGGGATAGAATTCAGATCACGTGAAGTGTTAATACCACTTTACAATGCCTTGGTAAGATCCACATTTGGAATATTGCATCCAGTTTGGGATGCCATGATATAAAAAAAATGTCCCAGTCAATCCACCTCTTGGATTTCCTGGTGGTCTCCCATCCATCTACACCCAAAGCCAGATTCTGCCTCGCTGGGGAAATATTTGATAGTTCTCTCTCAGCTCTTGAATTGTTGCTGTTTATGGGGCTACAGGGATGTTTGACCTTTCTTTCTTTTATTTTCTTTTTCAAAGTTTTATTAATTTTTAAGAATTAGAATCTTTAGAGCTTAGTAAACAACATGTCTGGGTTCACATATTTAACCTTAACTTCAATATAAATCTATTCAGTACTGCACATTCCAATATTTTTTTCTCTAATCCTCCTTTCTTCCCCATATTTTTTCCATTTTCCCCTCATTACACAATTACAATTATTAATACTATTGATATATGCAACATCTTCATCATAAACATCTTCATCATATTTTATTAGTATTATACAAATAACAATATCAATTCATAAATCAATATCCTGTTTTTCGTGCTCTTGTTAAAGCTTGATTTCCCATCAATATTTAAAGTCATGATTTTCTCAATATTAATTACATTTATATAGCTAAAAATTTTATTCATACCAATCCTCCTCTTATTTTCGTATTTCCCATATCAAAAGAAGAAAAAAGATGCTAAATCATATCTTTTATTAGAAAAGCCTAATTATATCTAAGGGTCATCCATTCTTTTAATCATATTGAAACAAGTATTTAAACATATAATGCCCCCTCTAATAGGTCAAATCTTCTATGTTTTAAACCTAACTCTCACTTTCTTTCTTTGCCAAGTAGCTTTCCAAGCTAAGACATTAAATCACCCAGAAATTTTCTTTCTATTTTTGTGAAAGTTGCTTGGCATGAAGAAGACAATTTAGGTAGGGTATTTTGGGGGGAGGAATTCTGCCCATTTATGTTGCTTAAGCAATTCTCACCTTCCTTCTCTCTCAATTTCTCCACTCATCTTTTGTCTCCCAAACTGTAACATTTCCCCTGACAGCTCTATGTTCCATTCCCCAAAATCTTCTTCCTTGTCATCAGGTGCATCTTGCAGACTTAAGGGGTAAAGAGTCTTTTGCATTTTCATTGTTATGGGTAATTCTTGCAGTATTTTATTTGTGTATGGTAGTTTATATTTCCCTTCTTTCATCTCTTCCATCTCTAGGTCCATTTCCTCTGCTTCATCTTCCAATGTCTGATTTATTTATTCATATTTTGTAGTCGTTGTCTGGGAACTTTCTAGTTGTAGATTTAATTTGGAGATTTGCTTATTTATATTATCTAAATTATTTTTAGTCTCATTATGGTTTCTTTTTATGTCCTCTTTGTATGCAACAATTGTTTGGTGAATTAGTTGTAGCGTAGAGTATATTTCCTTCTGAAAGGTGTTTGTTTTTTCTTGAGGTATCATTCCTGGAGATTGTCTAATGTCACCAGTCTCAGTAAGAGTAGAACAAAGTTTCCTCTAGCTTTCTGGACTTTATTTGTAGCCTTTATAATCCAATAGATTCCAGAATATAGTCCAGTCCCAAAAGCAATATTTTATAGTTATCCTTTGTCTCAGGCATCCAAAAATTGTCAGTCAGGCAAGGTTATAATCCACAATGTTCAAAATGTTCAATCTCTCTGGAAACAGCTCAAAAGTCTCTCCCAGCTGGGTGTAATCAAAAGTCAATTTTTTCTTTCTCTCCCACTAGCTCTTGAGATTAAAAGTCCAAGCTAAGTAGGTATTTATAGCCCAAAAAGGTCAGGGTGATAAGTATGCCAAAATATTTTCCTTTATTGCCAGCTGTTTTCCCTTAAGCTAGGAGTAACCAAGCAGCCAGGAAGCTAGTTATAGCACTGTATTCAAATCCACCACTAGATGTCATTCAAAATCCATTTTCTACTCTTAAGACAGATTTCTTATATTTCACCTCAATGTTTTTTTTTCAAAGAGAAAATCTTAACAATTATCTCAGTTCTCAAATTTCAAAACTGTAGCTTTATGTTACTTCCATGTCAATATTGTATATTTCTGTCCCCCATAGAAATTAAAACGCCGTTTCCATTCACATTTGGAGGTTTTTAGCTTCTTGGGAGCCTTTCCCAGGAAATTCAGTTGTAAGATAGCAAAGAAAGGATCAATATTCTCATCCAGTTCCCAAACATGCTGTTTACGATGTGTTAATTGGTGCTTTTCTTCTTTGGTTGTCAGCAGCTAGTGGCTGGCCATAGGGATGTAGCCAGTCTTTCCCTTGCTGGTTTGGAGGGCTTTTCTCGGATCGAACAGAAAAACTGCCATCTCACCGTGATCGACGAGACACCCCTCCACCTTCATCACCTCTTTGGGGCAATTTTAGGCCCTTTTTAGGGGCCCCAGCAGAGCAAAATCAGACATGGTAGGCAGAGCCCTGCCTTTCTGCGTCTGTCTCACTGCAGCGCAAAACCGGAAGTCTTTCAGGTGTTTGATCTTTCTGATGATGCTTATGTGCAACATTTATGTTTCCAGGGTGGATGAGAGCATCACTAAAGTTTGGGAAGCAGAAAAGAAATTTCAGGAACAACAACATAAGTACGTCGCTCTTGAGCAGCAGTTTGCGAAGCTGAAGATGGAATCGGGGAAGACAGTCATGGCCCCCAGGGCTCACCCCAAAACCAAAACAGGTAAAATCATTCAAAACATCTAGGCATGCAATGCTTCACAGAAGCCTTGTGCAAAACTTGACCAGTGGAATTTCCACAGAGGAGAATTTCCTTCCCTAATGGCCAACTAGGGGTGGCTGTGGAAAAGAGTCCCAAAATAAAGGCAAAGATGGTCGTCATAACTGCACAACCCCCCCCCTTTTTGAATGAACACATAGTCCTCAATTTATCACCGGTCACGTAGTGACCGTTTGAAGTTATGACGGACTTCCCCAGAACTACTTACTAATCAGTTTCAAAGTTCCAATGGCCCCACCTCTTCCCCTTGTGGTCATGTGACTAATTTGGGGGACTTGGCAACCACCCCACATTGAAAGCCATTTGCAGTGTCCCATGATTGCGATTTTGGGCCATTTTTGCCAAAAAAAAAAGTGGTGTTTACTTTTGGTTGCCAGGCAAAAGCCCTCATTGGGTATAATGGGTTCACTTAACAACCGTTGGATTCGCTTAACGACCACTGCAAAAAAAATCACAAAATCAGGCACAGTATGCTGACCTGCTTAACACTACCATGACTGATGAACGTGATTCCAGGCTCAGTTACGGTCATAAGTTGAGAATTATACATACCGTATTTTCCGGCGTATAAGACGAACCCCAACTTCGGAGACGATTTGCATGCTTTAGAAAGTCATCTTATACGCCAGAAAATACGGTATATGTATTCCCCCCCCCAAAATGGCATTCACTTTGGCTTCTAGAATAAAAAACACCCCATAGTAAAAAAAAATGGATTTGCTTAATGCAGTGGTTCTCAACCTTTTTAATGCCGTGACCCCCAACCGGTCATAAGTCGAGAACTACTCAACCAGTCGTAAGTCGAGGACTACTCAACTGGCGCAGCACCGTTTGCAGAATGGGACTTTTGGCAGGCTCAGCAGGGCAGAGACAGCCTGGACAATTCCTATTGGCTTTTGAAAACCAATAGAATTAGACTCTATTCAAGAGAGTCTGTTCTATTGGCTTTCAAAAGCCAATAGAATAAAAGAGAGTAGCACAGCTAAGGAAAAGGGGGAAAAAATGGCGGACTGCGTTGTTTGGTGACCCCTGTGAAATGGTCGTTCGACCCCAAATGGGGTCCCGACCCACAGTTTGAGAACCACTGGCTTAATGACTGCAGCATTCGCTTAACGATGGCAGTATTTGCTTAATGACCACTGCAAAAAAATCTCATAAAATCAGGTCCAGTCACCATCATGACTTACGGTCTGGGGAGTTCTGGCAGTCGAAATTCACGCGTCTTACAGTCTTTTTCCTCTTCTCCACCGAAAATATGAATTGTGATTTCTTTTTTTCCAGAAAAGTTTAAAATTTGGTGGGTTTGTGAGCAGCCTTCCAGATCAGTATCCCTGTTTAACGATACATCTTGTCTCAACAGCTCCGTCATTCAGCAGCACCAAAATGAGCTGGAACGCCGGGGATAAAAAAGATCTGCCATCCGTTCAACTTTCCGAAGTGCCTCTGGAATCTCAGTTAGAGGAACTGTCCACACAGTAAGACATTTAATATTTTTTTCCGTTTTTTTAAAATCAAAACTCTAAATTAGATTTAAGAAGTTGTTAAGTTAGTAACATGGCTGTTGAGTGAATCTGGCTTGTCTGTTGACTTTGCTTGTCAGAAGTTCGCAAAAGGGGATCACATGACCTTGGGACATGGTGACCGTCATAGATAAGTTGCCAAGCCTCTGAATTTTGATCACATGACCATGGGGATCCTGCAACAGTTGTAAGTGTGAAAAATGGTCATAAGTCACTTTTTTCAGTGCCGTTGTAACTTTGAATTGGTCACTAAATGAATGGCTGTAAGTTAAGGACTGCCTGTACAAGTGATCCTCAACTTATGACCGTAACGGAGCCCACAATTATGATCATTAATTGATTGGTCATTAAGCAGGTTACCACTTGACTGCTCACAATTTTACAACATTTTTTGCCACTGTCATTAAGCAAACACCGCAATTGTTAAGTGGAACCATGTTACCCAATGGCTGTTCTTTGCCTGAAAGCCGAATTAAATGTTTCCATCAAAAAAAAATGTCATAAATTTTCCAGCGTATAAGACGACTTGGCGTATAAGATGACCCCTGCCTTCGGAGATGATTTGCATGCTTTAGATCACACAAAACTACAAATGTCAGTAAACGAAGGCCAGTTACTCAGCACCCAAAATATGACTACTTATTTACAACTATGTAAATAGCCCTGGTGAGATTTGTCATAATGTCAGGGAATTGCGCAGGTGGTGTCCAAATGGAGTCAGAGGCTGTCAGGAACTTCTAAGTTTTATATACCTTATATTCCGTCGTATAGGACGACTTGGCATATAAAACAACTCCCAACTTCGACGCCGATTTCCATGCCTAGAAAGTCGTCTTATACACTGGAAAATACGGTAAATAAATATGTTTTACACAGTATATATAGATAGTCAGGCAAACAGGAGCATCATGAGGTCAATCGACACAGCAGGAACATCATGAGATCAATCGACACAGCAGGAACATCATGAGGTAAATCAACATAGCAGGAACATCATGAGGTAAATTGATACAGCAGGAACATCATAAGGTAAATCAACACAACAGGGACGTTGTGAGGTGAAATCAACCCAGCAGGAACACCATGAGATAAATCAACACAGCAGGGACATCATGAAGTAAATTGATACAGCAGGAATATCATGAGATAAATCGACATAGCAGGAATACCATGAGGCAAAATCAACACAGCAGGAACATCATGAGGTAAATTGACCCAACAGAAACATCGTGAGACAGCAGGAACATCATGAAGAAATTGATACAGCAGGAACATCATGAGGTCAATCGACACAGCAGGAACATCATGAGATCAATCGACACAGCAGGAACATCATGAGGTAAATCAACATAGCAGGAACATCATGAGGTAAATTGATACAGCAGGAACATCATAAGGTAAATCAACACAACAGGGACGTTGTGAGGTGAAATCAACCCAGCAGGAACACCATGAGGTAAATCAACACAGCAGGGACATCATGAAGTAAATTGATACAGCAGGAATATCATGAGATAAATCGACATAGCAGGAATACCATGAGGCAAAATCAACACAGCAGGAACATCATGAGGTAAATTGACCCAGCAGGAACATCGTGAGACAGCAGGAACATCATGAAGAAATTGATACAGCAAGAACATCATGAGGTAATTGACACAGCAGAAACATCATGAGATAAATCATAGCAGGAATATCATGAGGCAAAATCAACATGGAAGGAACATCATGAGATAATATCAACAAAGCAGGAATATCATGAGGTATATTACAGAGTATGTAGGGCACACAGGAAAAAAGGCAGGAAACAAGGAATTCACTCACAGGACCAATCACAGTGCAGATTGCCTTGCACCATGGCCAGTTCTCTTCAACTAATCAACCACAACTCTGTGTGTTCTGGCTCACTGCACAACCCTTCACTTTTCCAATTACTAAATTTAAATATCTTAACTCATAACTTCAAATGGTCTCTAGAGCACTGGTCGTAAGTCAAGTATTTTCGGTCAGATATCGGTCCATTTATTTCTTTTAATTATATATATGTAAACATCCGTCAACTGTTTCCTTCCTTGCAGGCTAGCGATCCAGATGGACGAGATCGAAGGCCTGAAGAACGCTTTGCAAGAATCCATCCGGACCAAAGAGGAGGACTTCCGTGTGTACCAGGACACCGTGGGACAGGTGAAGGAGATCTTCCTGCACGCTCTGAAGCAGCACGCGCAGGAGAAGAACTGAGTCGGGTCTGGTGGTGGGAGGGGGTTAGTCCCACTGTCCAGATGTGGTCCCTCCGAGGTGACTCTCATTTAAATACTTGCAGGAGGGTGCAGGAGACATAGCAGACGTTGGTCCTGTAGAAGATGCAGGTGGTCCCCAGCTAGAGGGACGCAAGGGCCAGCTCCTCTCATCCATAATGATGTATTCGTAGTCATATTCACCGGATCGGTAGTCCGGCCCTCATTCCAAACGAATCTAGAATCCCTAAGCAGGAAGAATTTGCTTGGGTAGAAACCAACTTTGGATCAACTTTGACATCCCTTGCCAAACAAGACCTGTTTTTAAACTTTTCCAATGTAAATACAGACCCCATTGTTGTCACTCAGCAAGACCTGGACAAAGTATAATGTCTTGTTTATTTTTTCAAAAGACACAATACCATGTTTCTTTGATCGCGTGCTTGTGAATTGCAGGGATGGTGAGGGTGAATTGCTTTTCCTGGATCGCTCATTTACAAGTGTGTTTGTACACCTCTCGTGCCCTTTTTCATCTCTGCCCAAGTTTGCTTCACGATCAGTTAACTCCCTTGTTGACTTTTAGTTTATCTTCGGACGTTTTCCCCTTGCTGAGTTGCTCAAGGAGGGCTCAGATTAAATTAGAAAATATTGATCCAAAAGGGATTCAGTTTGAGTTGAAGACGATTTAGCACACTGTAGTTATGAAAAGAAAAGTAAGCAGGAAGATAGATAGATTAGAGAGAGAGAGAGAGACAGACAGACAGACAGATAGATGATAGACACAGAGACAGATAGACAGACAGATAGATATAGGAATATTTATAAGTAAGTAGAGCCGTGGTGACGCAATGGTTAGAATGCACTCTTGCAGGCCAACTCTGCCCATTGCCAGCAGTTCAATCCTGACCAGACTCCAGGTTGACTCAGCCTTCCATCTTTCTGACGTCGGTAAAATGAGGGCCCCCGATTGTTGGGGAGCAATAGGCTGAGTCTGTAAACTGCTTAGAGAGGGCAGTAAAGCACTACGAAGCTATATAAAAATCTACGTGCTATTGCTATTGTAACTCAGGATTGTACTATGGGGTCGTTGGTGCTCTCTGACCATGATGGTTTTATAAAAGACATTTCATAACCAAATTAGGTAATACCATCAGTGCTAGGAAGGAGTGGGGTTTGCCAATAAGACCAAATCCTGCCCTGTTCCCTCCTAGCACTTGATGATGTTACCTGGTTTGGTCATGAAAAATTTGCAAGAAAACCACCAAGCTTAGAGAGCACCAGGGATTCTCCCTCCCTCCCTCCCCCTCCCTCCCTCCCTCCCTCCCTCCCCCTCCCTCCCTCCCTCCCTCCCTCCCCCTCCCTCCCCCCCTCCCTCCCCCCCCCTCTCTCTCTCTGTCTCTCACCTATTTATCTATCTGCCTGTCTATCTCTAGCTATCTGTCTGTCTTTCTATCTGTCTAGCTATCTAGTATCTATCCATCCATCCATCCATCCAGGGCTTTTTTTCTCATAGAACGCCCAGAACGGAGTTCCGGCACCTTTTTTGGATGGAACCTTGTAGGATAGGCAAGGCGGGTTGTATGATGTGTGTGAGTTCCAGCACCTTTTTTTTTTTTTTAAGAAAAAAAGCACTGCATCCATCCATTTATCTTTCTGTCTCTAGGTAAAGTTAGATAGATGATGGACAGACAGGGAGGGGGGGAGGGAGGGAGACAGGTAGGCAGACAGACAGATAGATTGACAAATTTCCCACCTGGTAATATTATAGTTGCCTATACAGCTTGAAACTAGCCCTAGAGATTCTGTCCAACACAATAAAACTGTTCCTTGAGGTACAAGTTAAATTTCGTTTTACCTACATTGTATGTCTGCCAGCCACCAGGAAATTCTCAAACTAGGGTAAAAAACTGAATGAATAACTTCAGGCAACTGAGTTACTTAAGCTCTACTTACAACAATTCATTGAGCAACTGTTCGGCACTGAGAAAAGAGACTTACAACCAGTCCTCACTCCTATAACAGTCACAGCATGCAGCTGGTCACAAAATCAAAATTCAGGCACTTGGCAACCAGCATGTGATTACAACGGTTGCAGCATCCCGGGGTCACATGATGGCAGCCAGCTTCCCACAAACAAAGATACTGGGAGTTTGCTTAATGACCATATCCCTTCGCGATAGACATTGAGGTTCCCCATTGTGGTCGTAAGTCAAGAACTTCCTGTAATAAGGTAGCCCATTTGTTTAAAAAAATCAAAGAATTCCATGTCTGCACTTATCAATTAGGCAGTGGTGGGATTTAGGCAGTTCGCACCACTTTGGCAGAACCGGTAGCTAATTTTTTTGTTGCCCAGGCCCAGAATGGACTTCCAGAAGCAGAATCCACACAGAGAACTGGTTGCTCACCTATTTGAATCCCACCACTGCAATTAGGGCTGCGTACCGTCATCTAGTGGACAACCACTTAAGGATGAGCCAGCCGTGTGCTGCAGCGGCTAAAAAAGCCAACACAGTCCTGGGCTGCATTAACAGAGGGATGGAATCAAGATCACAAAGGACTGAAGGCTAAACCACACAGCGGACGATATTAGTACCACTTTATAATACTTGGTATGGCCACACTTGGAATATTGCACCCAGTTTTGGTCGCTACGATATTTTAAAAGACATGGAGACTCTAGAAAGAGTTCAGAGAAGAGCAACAAAGATGATCAGGGGACTGGAGGTTAAAACATATGAAGAACAGTTGCAGGACTTGGGTTTGACTAGACTAAAAAAAAGAAGAAACGGGTGGCATGATAGCAGTCTTCCAATATCTCAGGGGCTGCCACGAAGAAGAGGGAATCAAGCTATTCTCCAAAGCGCCTGAAGGCAGGACAAGAAGCAACAGATGGAAACTGATCAAGGAGAGAAGCAACCTGGAACTAAGGAGGAATTTCCTGTCAATTAACCAGTGGAACAGCTTGCCTTTGGAAATCGTGGGTGCTCCATCAGGTTTTTAAGAAGAGGCTAGACAGTCACTTGTCTGAGATGGTATAGGTTCTCCTGCTTGAGCAGGGGGCTGGACTAGAAGACCTCCATGGTCCTTTCCAGCTTCTGTTCTGTTCTATTCTGTTCTATTATAATCACTTCCCACGGAGTGTGCGGTGATATTTAATCCTATCAATTAAATTCTTATTCTAACTACACCCTCTGCACTCCCAGCAGGTGGCGTGCTCAGCCATCATTAACTGATCTCTCAGCAGCCCAGGAAAGTCAAATTTCTTCAGCTAGTGCAAAATCTTCTGGATTAAACCTTTCAACTGGGTTTTTTTTTTGGGGGGGGGGGGCTTGGTTTGAATAGATTTCCCATCCTCCTCTTTCACCCATTTTCCCAACTGGCAACTGGCATCAAAGACAGAGTGCTTTGTATCATGATTGGCCAGCAAGGATATACCAGCGTTAATTCATTAATTTAAGAAAAAAATTTTCTCCTTTCAATTTTATTTCATTCAGAAGATTAAAACACAGGCAGTCCTCTAGTTACGACCACAAGGGAGCCCAACATTTCTGTTGCTAAGTGAGACCATTGTTAAGTGAGTTTTGCCCGTTTTACAACCTTTATTGCCACGGTTGTTAAGTGAATCACTGCGGTTGTTACGTTAGTACGATGGTTAAACAAATCTGGCTTCTCCATTGACTTTGCTTGTCAGAAGGTCGCCAAAGGGGACTGCATGATCCAGGACTCTGACACCGTCATAAATACGAGTCAGTTGGCAAGCCTCTGAATTTTGATCATGTGACCAAGGGGATGCTGTGATGGTCATAAACATGAAAAACGGCCATCACCTTTTTCAGGGCCATTGTGACTTTGAATGGTCAGTAAACAAACAATTGTAAGTGGGGGACTCACTGTGTTGCTGATTTAAACTCTGGGATATTTCCTTTCCTCTTTGTCCCAAAGAATTGGGACAAATATTGAACTCAAAATGATTATTTTAATTTTTTTTAGAAACGGGTCGGAACAGGGGAAGTCTCCCTGCTGTGCAGAGCTACAACTCTGTGCAGTTTCTATCTGCAGCGTTCAGATACTTGTCCTTGTGGTTTCCTGGCAGGAAAAACCAACTGGGAACACAAAAGCTAGGGTTGTAAATTAAGCTGTGACAGTGCCAAGAGGCCAGTTGTGTCTCTCCCTTCCTTCCTTTTGGCTGCGATAAGCCTAGCAGACAGTCCTTGAGTTAAGACTACGATGTGGACCAGAATTTCCATGGTTAAGCAAAATGGTTGTTCAGTGAGTTGTGCTCAATTTTACTATCTTTTGGGGGCATGGATGTTAAGCGAATCTTGTTTCCCCCATTGACCTTGGATGTTAAGAGAATCTTGTTTCCGACCTTGTCGAAAAACAATTGGGAAAGTCACAAATGGAGATCACGTGACTGTGGGGATGCTGCAACGGTTGGAAATGCAGGGTGGTAGCCAAGGATCTGGATTTTGACCGCCTGACCATGCTGCAATGGTCATAAGTGTGAGAACCAATCGTAAATCACTCTTTGCAATGTTGTTGAACTTTCACTGGTCACTAAAATGGTTGTCAATCAAGGACTGCCTGTATAGTCAAGGGGGGAAGAGGAGGGGGAGGAGGGAGGAAAGGAGGGAGAAGGAAGGAAAGGTAGAATGAGGGGGAGGGAGGGAAGGAGGAAGGAAGGAAGGAAGGAAAAGGAAGGAGAAGTAAGGAAATGAGGGAAGGGAAGGAAGGGGAATGTTGGAAACAGTAGGGAGAGAGACTTCCAGTCTTGCACAGCAGTGCAGCAGTCAAGGCGTTTGGGACTCCGTGTCCTTCGGCTGAGTTTCTTCCTGTTAGGGGACCCTAAATGGGCCAGAAGCCACCCTGAAGAAGCGGCAAAGAAGGAAGTAAGTCCCGGGGACCTCTGAGAGATGACAGTCGACCCAATCGGTCCAAGAGAAGCCTTCCAGAAACCAACAGGAGAAAGGCTAGCCTAACTTCAGAGTCTAGCCCAAGCTGCAAGCAACCAAAGTCAAAAGCACTATTTTAAGCTGATTGTAAACAGTACGTTTGAATCTGGGTAAGAACATTGATTTTCTCTATCCTATTTATCAACTTTCCTGAAGGAAAAAAAAATCCCAAGAAGCAAAAAACCTCTGAAAGTGAAAGAGGGGGATTTTTGCCCCACCCTTTTACTAACAGAAGCAGAGAATTAAACCTTTTATGAAGGACCAAAACATATTGAAATGAAATGACTATAAAACCTAAATCTGGATAAGTGTGAAGTTACTGGATGGTTAAGATTCTCATTTTAAAGGCAATTTGTTTATTTTGAAAATTTGAAAAATATACCAGTGCTGACATCTAGTGGTGGATGAAGACTATGACAGTTATGGTTTTCA